ACGCGTGTGCACCGTACGCTTCGCGATCGGGTATTTTATATTTATTTCCAGATAACGCTCGAATAAATTAATACGTTATGCGTTACGATAAAAAAACATGGTCCGCGAGCGTCGAATAATTATTCGACGCTCTCAACATTTTTCTATTCATAATTATTAAAAAATATCTTCACAAAATATTAAGTAAAAAGTTTAATCATACATCAATTGCAATAAAGATTAATATGAGAATCGATAATAAATAATAAATGTGTTATATTTGGAGAAAAGCAAAGCTAAATTTAGAGAAGCGTAGAGAAAGATGATTTAGTAAAAGATAAAATATTTATAATGGCATTCTCTCGCTGTTGCAATAATCGATCGTTCATTATTTCAATAGAGTTTTCAGTCCATAATTATTTAAAAAAAAATGAAATATTAAAGAAAGTTTGATCGTATATAATTGTAATTAAAATTAATTGAAAGTTAATAAAAAGTTAATAAAATATAATAAAAATATATTTTTAAATATATTTAATTTTATATTTTTAATTTTAGAGAAATTAGAAATAAAAATACATTTCAAGAATAACTTTTTATTAGAATATTGCAAGAGGAAATTTAATAAAAAGGCTAATGAAATATTTATAAAATATACTCTCGCTGTCGCAATGATCGTCGCAATGATCGTCGCTCATTCCGACTAGTGTACAAACGGTTTCTTCATAGGAAAGGTGACCCGCGAGAAGGCAGAAAGAGAAATAAAGAGAGAGAGAGAGAAAGAGCGACGTATTTAAAATAAACTCGTGTGTCTGGCGTAAAACCGCACGCGCGACGCGGCGAATGGAACGCGACGGGACGAGAGTGACATGCATTGCGGTGGGATTAAGTTGCATTTGTTTTTCACGCCGGCAACGATATATGGATTAGATTTTTTTTTTTTGCTTTGCCTCTCGAACCGCAGTGCGAAATGCGTGTCTCCTCGCAGTGGCACTCGGCACGTCGCCGACGTCGCGGCGTCCGTTCTCACAGACGTGATACTCTTCGTTAATATTCTCTCCGTGATTAATCGAGTTTTAATAACCTCGCGAAATTGCTTGTGAACGAAGCCGTCGTCACTATTTGAATTTTCATCTTTATTTTATATATTTATTATCTTTATCTTTTTTATTTTATTTTTTTAAATTATATATTCTAAATATTTTAAAAAGATTCCGAAGACTCTATATTCTTTGATTAGAAGTTTAATAGATATTTATCGTTATACGACGATGTACAGAGTGTGTCCGAAATTGTGGTACAACTGACAAGAAGATGATTAAACCGATAATACAGAATAAAATATTTTGATACGATGTTCTGTTTTCAGGAGAAAAATGTGACTTTAAAGATTGCAAAATTAATAAGAGAGAATCTTTGGCTCTTTTTAAGCTTTGACACTTAAATAATGACGCGAAATAATTTTCAACATCGAACAAATCTTCTTGTTTTATGTCAACAATTTTATCTCGATTACCAAACCATGTGTAAAAAGATACATTTTATCGGAAAAATAAAAGTGATATTTACAAATGCCAATTTCGGATACACACATTTTGTACGTCTCGTTATTTATATAGTTTGCTTACTCGTCATAAACCCGGAGTCGATCGCAAAGCGCGGCACGTTAACTCAAAATGAATTTGAAGTGAACAGTCGTCGGTGGCGCGTGCAAGAAAAACGACAAGGGTGACGAGCAACAGGGAGGATGCAGTCGCTCAAACCTTGGGAAACTAGAACTTTGGAGAGGCTGTCCCGACAAAGACACGGACGTCGCGGAGTGTCTTTGCGACGGTACTACACGAGAGCATAATCCTAAAATCGCGCTTTCTGTCTCTTCGTCTATTAATAAACGCAACCGGCGCAGGATTATTTCGCGACGAGCGTCTTAAAAAGCCTCGTTGAGTGTGTTGAACAAAAGTCGCGATAAAATTTAACTCATTGATAGAATGTTGTAATCTTTATTTATTTAACAAAATTAACTATTTGATCGAGGAATGTTGCCGGATAAAAATATTGACGTACTGTTTAAACATCAATAAAAACATATGTAAAACGTCAAACAAATTAATTTTTAGTATTCATAAAAAGATCGTTAATTTTTTATATTGCTAGATTAAAGAGAGAGGGCCCTTAAAGGATTTCAGAATACATTAAATAATTGTAATCTAACTTTAATCTAAGTTAACTATTCGGTCGATAGAACTCGCTGGCATAATCGTGTTCATCAATTGTGTGAAACGCTCGAGTGCAACGCCCGCAAGTATCAATTAAACTTCCGATGCAGCCTCCGTTACAGGACAAACGTTTATATAGCCGGAAGCGAGCTCGCGCCAACGACTATATACGTAATCCATTAATATCACACGCGATGGACGTCGCGGCGGCGCGCGAGGAGGGGGCGTAATTAATGCGTGACGTTTAATTCGCAATGGTCGTCCCTAAACCGGCGACGCCATTGTTTCGACGATGAGGGTGATAGAGATGGATACCTCGAGCTTCTGACCTCAGGATTCGCACTGATAATCGGCGTTCCATATGTATATGATATTCGTATGAAGTATACAACTCGAATTTTAAAAACACATTTATAATTTCTAATATTTAATATTTGATAAATATATCAATTATTATATCCTATAGTTTCGAAATTCAGATTATAATAACAGGATGTCTATTCCTTGGAAAAACATGGAAAATTGAAATTTTCAGGAATTTCTTTTGTACCTGAAAAAATCAGGGAATTCTCGTAGAATTTTATTGGAACTCGAGAAATTAAAAAAAAAATTCTCTGATAATTTTGCTCTTATATTGTAAACATTCGGCAATTCGCCGATAAGTCGCTCGAAACTTAAGTGGCTCTATGTTTTTCCTTCGAATGAGTGAAAATCATTAGAAAACGCATACAATAAAAAAATGTTATTTTAGAAAAGTGCACCAAAAAATCTTGAAAATATTCTCTTTACCTAGAATTTTGAATAAAAATATTTGAAAAATCAAGAAATTCTTTTACAAGATTTTAATAGACTCTCTGAATATATAAAATAATTTGCGATTTTATAATTTTCAAAATCGTGCGAATCGGCTGCAATTTTTACGTCTAGACGCGCGAAGGACGAGGTCGGCTGATTTAACGATTTTCCGGGGATAACTCACCGTGGCGGTAGACGGTTCTGTAGCTGATGAATCTTTAATTTTGTCCTGTCGACCTAGCGCCACTGGATGGCAACGGAACGGAACGGTCTGCCGCGGATTCTCTCTCAGCCGTTGGTTCGCGTGACGCGAATCGCGCTGCTCCTCGCTCGCTGCGTCGCGACGCGACCGATAATCAAGAGTGACGGGCCTGCTCTCGTCCTTCCAACCGGTTAGACAATTATTTTGAGCATCGTAATGGACGGAGGAGCGATCGCGCGGATGATATGACAAGCGCCAGCGGCCGTCCCTTTTAATTAAATAAATCTCGACGGTATCGTTAAAATGAGAGAGCGCCTTAGAGAAGGCTCCTCGGGAGATAGAGCGATCTCGTCGTAGATCCATTTGCTGTGTACACGTCGGACGATCGGATGATCGTGGCCCGCGTTGCGATCGATCGCATCTACATAATGGATTATTAAAATATATACTCTCCTTCGCGGATATTTATTGTATCGGCAGAGACAATTGTATACACGGCGAACGCCGCGGTTTCTTTCCACTTTTAACTGTTTCGTGCCTCATTTTCCCGTGCCATGCCTCGGTTTGATGTATGAATTATTCACGAGATGAATTATTCATTAGGAAGATAGTACTTAGTCTTCGTAATACACATTTCGCTTAACATGCGACGGTTTGTTATTCGCGATTCGCGTTAAACGGTCGAAACTCCACGCGATCACGGCGGTCACGAATTTCTCTAAACGTCATCGACGATACTTTCGATGAAACAGGATATCATTCGGTGGCAATTGTGTAATTCAATAATCAAATTCTATTCTCTATTCTTGATTCATATTTTATAACTCGCGCTCGTGTTCCTCGACGATACGTTCGACGAAGCATATTTTTAATGACCTTGTCTTGTGAACTTTCAGCCAGGATCTATTGACGGTATGCCGGGAATTGAATCTCGAGAATTCGGTGGAGGAATTGATGAGGGAATTGGGCGCGGACGAGCAGGGTCGCATTTCCTATCAAGAGTTCCTTAGGCGACGACTGGCCCTCAGACCGGAAATCGAGGCGCTCAGAGCCGGCAAACGACGGAGCAGTCCGCATCACACGCCGGAATACCTGCCCACAAGCAGCGACAACAGCCTCGGTAAGAATTAGGTATCGTTGAAACTCATCTCGCGACCTTCCCGTATGCGATAATAAATCTCTCGGCGCGCGAAGAGAACGGAAATTTCATGCGAAAAGTAACAAGTACCATTTATATCCTCGCGCTCTCTCGCTGACTCTCTTGTGAAATGTAAATGTCACGTTTTCTTACCACAATATACGAAGTACCGTGGAATATTCCGTAACGGATATTATTTCGCAAACTGTATCTGGCGTATGTCGCGGGGAGCACGCGAACGAGCGCGCTATTTGCTCGAGATTGATGATCGATGGAACAATGAATGTGGGATGATCGCGGAAACGCCGCAGTAGCATTTGTAATATCCCGATCGCGTGTAACTGGATACGATATCGCGTGATCGATGAATAAATTGGAAATGGCAACCTGGGATATTGCACCAGACGTTTCCATTTCTCGCGCATACTGGACGTCGCCGGTAGACGTTAATTCTCATTACGCGACATTGAACGAGTGCGACTCGAGAATAAGAAATAAAATGTCAAATTGTGTCTTACTTTATCGATAAGCATTTTTGACACTATTAGATATAAATGATGGAGGTTTCGAGCATTTTCTTTTTCCTTTTCTTTATTTGTCGTCAAAAAATCTCAGAAGGATATATCCGTTAAGTCACTTTGGTCTTGTTTGCTCATATTTCTTGAGGCTAAATGAAAGACTTTGCCGTACTGATGCGCGCGTAATTTCTATTTCAGGAACCGTGTCGGGACGACATGAAAGTTGGGAATTCGACAGCGGCGCCCGTGATTTGTCGCCGGAACCTCATAGCCTTCAGAAGCTGGTGGAGGCGGCCGCCGGCGGAACCGGAAATATGCTGGATCTCGCGAATAAGGTAAGTCGCGACGATTTATCTCTCTCGTTGAAACGACTATAGATATTTGTATCTTTGGTACCGATCAGTTTTCTCTCACAGTATTAGATTCATTGCATATTCTGTGCACCAGTCAGTTAATTTCTATGCAAACTATCATCACTTATGTTTATTATAAACTCTGAAGGAATTTATTATATTTGCGCGTGTCAATGGAAAAAAAAATCTGTGAAACGAGACTCGCTTAATAAAAGACGCGATACTTTTGTGAAACTAAAAGGAAAGAGAAAAGTGCCGACAATATTTGAAGATATACGAATCTGAAGGAAAATTGTATATCGAGCGATAATAAACTTTGAGATACTCCCTGCTTGTTGATGCAACATTCGCGCTGATGAAAAGTCAACGAGACGCAATTATCCAAGGCAAATTGTCTTTGCATGCCGATAATCTTCGGCTTGAGCGCACGTTCGCTTAACTCCTCCGTCTCTCTCGCGGCTCTCTATCATTTCCTCGCTTCGTATCTCAGGGTTCGCGCCTGGGAATTTCTTTGTCAGCCGCAATTAACCACCGATACCACCGAGGCGCGGTATGCCATCGAGGAAGATGGCAAGACGTGCAATTTCTGCACGTTCCTTGCTTTTCCCCGTCCGATTGGCAGGTTCGGTATCGAATTACGAGGCGTAGATTAACGCCGTATGTCTCACTTATATGTTCTCTTTTCAAGTTTATCTCGTTATAAAATATATTCGATTGAATTTAAAAGGCTTTTAAAGTACTCTGTATTGACACGAATTATTTGCGAAAAACGATTATTTCGCAATCAAGTAGATACCTAACTTGGACAATTAAATCTCGATCGAATTTTCGCGTTTATGTTCAAGACGCGTATATTTTTATAATATATTTCCTCTCTCGCGAGCTCTCACTTTCGAATTGCTATAACGACGAAATTCCCGTGTCTCGGGAGGCGAATCTTCATGGATGATTCGCGATTGCTCGATAACCATGAGGTTACAGTCTCGTTTTAAGAGCCACGGCAGAGAAAAAGGAAAATATAAACGAACCGACCGAATTCCGAAGTTATCGCGATTTCTCGCGAGAGAACCTTTTCATTCCTATGTTTCGAGGAACGAGAACAGGGAGGATGGTTCGAGGAAATAAAAAAAAGAAGCACGCGCGCTTTACTGTGCCTATAAATAACCATTATTACGCTCTGCATTACGGCATCGGAAAAGCGAGAGGAAGCTGCAGTAGCGGATTTTGACTGCTCCGAGAATGTTATGTTTCACGCGCAAAGAGAGCGCAGGAACTTGTTTAAAGAATTTATCGAAATGCTATTTTACGAAACGAGCAGATGCGTAGAGAGAAACAATATCTTATATTTTAGTGATGCGTAACTCTTTCGACGCATTTAGGAATAAATATTTCATTCAACGCGCACGCGTTTGGATTTTACGAGAAACTTCGCCGACTAACTCGTCTCGCTTGATATTTTTCCTTCCTTTTATCATCCTTGTCTCGAGCGTGCAAAGGAAGCTTTCGCGTTACGACGCCTCACGACGTCGGGAGGACGTCTGTTTTCCGGGAAAACGCAAATATGCAGCGCCTTAGACCCCCCCCCTTATAGATTCGACTATGCAGCGAGCAGTTTTCTCGCGCTATACGCCATGTAACGCGAATTTCCATAGAAATGGAATATAGAAATCAGACAAGAGAAAAAAGAGAAGGAGATATATATATATTATATATCGGGCATAAACATAACAGCGGCGTTAACTCCCTTTGTTACTCCTGCGTGGAAATTGCTAGAGATGATTTATAGCGCGACGGAACGATACGCTAACATTATAACGCGACAGGTATTCGGATACGTACAAGATTAATCCGTATCTCTCTCTCCCTCTCTCTTTTTACCGAGCTATGAGATAGTTGGTAGAGATTCAGACTGTATTTCGTGGAAAAGTGCAGATTATCCCAGACGTCTGCGAGATATATCTCATGCATGAGTTATTATTATTATACAAAGGATTATCTCCTTTATATATACATATATATCTCTTTCTCTGCGTGCTGTGTGTTACTAAAGCAAGAGTAAAGTGCTACTGGGGTCAAATAAAATAATACAGCGTTGAAGTGGTATTATATAAGAAGACTTTTTAAGAGAAAACCTTAAGAAAACTTGAGGGAACCTATTTTTTTTAGAATATTAGTAAGAGTAAAAGAATAATAATCTTACGCAACCGCGTTTAGATTCCTGTCCATCCTTATCTCATTGTGGCGAGGTAAAAAATTTGACCGTGACAATTTTACGACCGGCCGTTATGCAATATCCGGAGATGCCGTTAACATTCTCTAATTGTAACAAAGTGCTCATAAAAAAGGAAAAAGAAAGCGGGGCGACGTCGTATAGTCGACGGTTCCACGGAAGGACAGATTATTATCAGAGCGTGTAAAGAAAGATGCGGGACCGAAGCCGACGGCCCCATAAAAATGAAGCCGGATAGGTGCGGTGGGGCCCCCGCACAATGTAATAACGATCGCGCAATAAGATTTTGTAATTTTCCCCTCGAACAATTGACCTGCGCGAGCGATCCGAGCTCACGATAATCCGTCTCGTCTCGAACGATGGGAAATATCGTCCTGCCGAGGACGATGTTTTTCTAGGACGGCCGATCGTTATTTTCCATTGCGACGCCCACATCCTTTTTCCCGAGGATATTTACTTCCGTCCTCGCCGACATCGTAGGTCGAGCCGCGAGAATTTCATACCTCCTCGTCGTCTCCTTCTCGTCGAGTCACCATATGAATTCTCTCGTGATAGTGCTCGCGTGACGCAATAAACGCTACGCCGTAATAGTGCCGTAAGACGGGTCGAAATTGCGTCAACAGGTGCGAGGTGGATTTTGCGTGAGAGCGAAGAGAAAAAATCTAGAGATCTCTCTGGAAAATTCATTTTTTGGATAAGAGTGATGGAAAAGAATACAAATATCAATTAATAACAGGAATCTGGAGAACTATATTTTGCGATCTTTAGTTGTTACATATTACGCAATCAGTTCCTAATTTTTTTAGTACGGACAAAGAGACGGGGAAAATTTTACGGTACAAATTACAAATAATGAAAAATACATGCTCTTTTATATTTATTATAAAACTGAAATATAACGACATTAAAATATTTATTACTAGAAAAATTGTTTGTGCATCAAAATATTTGAATAATTACAATACTTCTTTATAAAATATAATATTATATTGAATAAAAATATCACGTGATTTTTTTCTCTTATATATGTTAGTATAGTCCACGATTACAAAAAAATTATTACCAGGCGTCTCCGTGAGACTGTTAAAATATTCGCGTGAGACGACCGCGCGCAGAAAACTATGCTGCCAATTATGCCAAGCATCTCGTTCGCCATATCGTGCGAAGTATTTCGGATATCACGCTCCGTTTGGCGTGTCGACATCCATAATCGCGTGGCTCGCGTAAGCGCGAACAGCTAGAATATAGCTCGAGATGTTGATAATCGACGGGTTCCTGTTCCACCGAATACGAGGGCGAAGACGGACACGTAGACAGCAATGCCTTGGGACTGCAAAGCCGGCAAACCCTCTTTACGGGAAGCCATCGTCGTCGTCGCCGTCCGACTCACCTCCCTTTTTCCATCTCCCCTTCTCGCGGAAGGAACGTCGCGCGTTAATCGAGAAATTAGCGAAGTTAATTAAGAAGCCGCACCCAGACGGTCTCGCCCACATAATTACACTAATACAATCGCGCAGCGTTTTTGCGCTCTCACTTTCGGTCCATCTTTTTTCCCCGCATTTTCATCTTTGCCTCTCTTTGATCATCTCATTTCGCTCTCATAGTAGTCCGCGTACAAGGTGTCTACTCTCTAAGAAAAACCTGGAAAACCTGGAATTCTCATGGAATTTTATTAGGACTCGGAGAATTTTTCTTTTTAAATTCTCTTTTTGATAATTTTATTCTTATGTAAGCAATCTGATGAGCTGATAAGTTTATAAGCCGAATTGTGAATTATGTATTTAAAATTATGAATATATATTACTGTTTTTATATATTCAATGTCTTAACAAAATATTGAATATGCAGTAAATATTCTTTATTATAATTTTTAATGATAAAAAAATGAAAATGTTATCAAGTAAAAAATGTTTATCTTACGAAACTTAAATGACTGTGTTTTTCCTTTATATATAAGTGAAAAATATTAAAAAATAGAATAAAGAGTCTTATTTTAGAAAATTACACTAAAAAATCTTTAAAATATTCTCTTTATCTGAAATTTTGAATAAAAATACTTGAAAGATTAGGGAATTTTCAGGAAATTATTTTTACAAGATTTGAGTAGACACCCAAGTATATAAAAGTGCGGAGACTCGCGTACATTTAATCGCAATATATTTATTTTCTCAGATTCGCGTCGAATTTTACGATTATATCATTATATTTACGTCGAGGATTAATGACTTTTGCAGTCACGAGGCTGCATGATAAGATGGTTTGTCGCGGATGCGAGCGTGAAACATGGCCGTAAGAATGGACGATACCGCAACGGGACGTTTTTCTCCGCGTAATACGACGTGCGTTCTAACGAGTTACACGAAAAAAGAAAACCCCGGAGAGGAGGTGCTTGCGGTGATCTAATAATTTCTGCTTAAGTGTCGCTATTCGGTTTAACCGCTATACGGTAATCTCCTCGCGACTCGTAGCCGCGCGCCCGTAATAGTCACGTTCTCTCCTACCCCGTGATTATGTCAGCCGCGAGTTCTTGTCGCTTCTCACCTTAAAGGCCATCCGTTCTCAAGACTTAATGGATGTGTTTTATCTTAACCGTTCCATCTCGAATCGTCTCGCCGAGCAAACAAAGCTTGCGCGGTTTCCGCTGTCTCGGAGCGACGCGCAATCGATACGGCGGCTTTATCGTTGAGTACGGTATTCGTGTTTGCCTATTCAACGCAGAGATGGAAAAACTGGAAACAAAAGCAGAAATATA